TTATCTCTTATTTCTCTATCTTTCTCTTTCTTTTTTTTACGTTTTATTTTAATTTAAAAAAAAGAAAATCAAATGAAATCTTAAAAATATTTTAAGTTCAAATTAAAATAAAAAGAAGAATGAATAATTAAATAATTAATCAATAATGAGAATAGGATATAATGAGGTAGTGATAACATCAACGTATTTTAATGACTTTATTAATTTAGAAATAAGAATTAAAAGATTTCAAGGAAATATGGAACAATTTCATTTTAATCCATTTCCTTTAAATGCATATTCAAGAAGATTATTTCCTAACATTGAAACATTTCATATTTATAATAAGTATGGTGAAATATTTAATGATGGAAGAATATTTAAAGAAATAGTATGATATAAAGTTAATTATTCAACATATTTAAAAGAGAAGGAAATATCTGTAAAAAAATTAGAATATAAATAAAGATAGAGATAAATATGGAAATACAATACCACCAGAAGTTAAATCACTTGAATCTGAATGTTTTTATAACTGTGTTCACTGACATCAGTTACTGTACCAACATCAATTAATAAAATAATATATGATTGCTTTTGTGAATGTACGTGATTAACATTACTCGATATTCAAACACTTATTAGTAAAATATGATCAGTTGTTTTTATACATACTGATGAAAAGAAGAAATAAGGAAGAACGAAAGAATAACAAGATATTGTTTTAAATAATAATGAATAAACAATAAAATAATAACAAATGAAATATAATGTAATTTGAATTAGAAATAAATGATAATTGATTATAATTGATGTTCTTTTTTTATTTCTCTTTCTTATTCTTTTCTTTCTTATTATTTATTCTTTTGTTTGTTAAAAATAACAAAGAAGAAGATGATGATGATGATGATAAAACAGTAAAAAGAAATCACAAATTGGAAAAGATATAGTATAAACACAACATAATGATATTATTTGAATAAATTACATAATAACAGAGAAATAATTGGTAATATATTTCAAGAACAGATAGAAGAACAAGAAGAAAATTCAAATGATAATATGAAGAACAATTTTAATATAAAAAATGATAATAAAACAAAAACAGAGAATTATCAATTTCATGTTTAAGTGTAAATATGAAAGTTTTAACATTAATAATCAAAATGAGTTTAGAATTATCAAATAAATAAATTACAATAACAATGAAAAAAAGAATTGTTGAGCAGTGAAAGAATGAAAAATAAAAAGTATAATAAAGAGATATTTAGAAATATTTTATGATATAAAGAAAGACTATGAATAAATGAAACATAAATAATTAATAATAACATTAAATTATTTTAATTTACAAAAAAAAAACATAATAAAAAATATGAACAGTCAATAGAGAATAAAAATAAAATATAATTATAAAGAAATGATTGGATATATTAAATTTGAATATTGTATCTTTCATTTTTATTCTGTCATTTTTATTATTCATTTGTTAAATGAATATTCTTTTATATGTATTATAATAAATTAAATATTTGATAAAAGAGTAAAATGTGTATTATATATTGATAATATGAAGTTAGTAAATAAAAATTATTGAAATAATACATTAAAATAATAAATACAATAAAATGAATAAGAATTGAAATTAATATAAAGAAATGTTGAATAATTAGAATCTAGAAAATAACAATAACAAATGATATGAATATAAATAGTTGATGAAATAACTCATATAAATATTTATGAATATTCAAATAATTAAAGAATAATATTAAAGAATGTATTAAGAAGATAATAAATATTATGAAATGAAAATATGAATCAAAGTAATGAAAAAAAAACAGAAATTATATAAACCAAATAATACAAAAATGATATCATTATTTAGATATTCATCATCTATAATCAAATGTAAATATTGAAATTAATTAAATTATTTTAAATAATCAGAAAAGAAATAATTAAATTAAATATGAAATTGAAATAAATATGTAGAGTAAGATTATATGTTAAAAAAGAAAATAAATAAGATTGATTAATATCAATTAGAGTAGAATATGATATAAAACTCATTAGAATATTAATATAATTCAAATATAGAGAATGAAATGAAATAAGATAAATAAATAAAAAGAAAATAGAATAATGAATATATTTTATGAAACATGAGGAAAGAAAATAAATAAATAAAAATAAAGAGATATATGAGAAAGAAGAGAAATAGAAAAAAAAACAAATAATATAATTATTAAATATATAAAGAATTCATTCTATCATTATTATTTAAATGAATAAAAAGAATAAAAATGGTTTAAAATCACAATGATTTTAACAACTATATGATAGATAAAAAATAATAATTAAAATAATGAGTAGATATATAAAGAAAAAGATATGAAGAAGAAAAATAGTACAAGAAGAATCAATAATTAATTGAATAATAAAATCAAAATTGAAATATAATCAAATATTATCAATGTGTCATTATGTCATAAAATAACAATATAAATCATATATTATTAAATTATATTAAAACAAATTAATATTGAAAAATATAATATAAATAAGTGAATATAATTAGAAATGATTAAAAATTAAATATAATATGTTTTTAAATGTTATAATAAATCAAATGAGAGAAATAATCAATGGAAAATACAAATGATAAAAAATGAAGTATGAAAAATAGAAAAA